TATATATATAAACAAGGAAAAAATAAGTCACATATGAGATCATCAGTTGTCCGATGAAGGCTCATCACTGGCTTATGCAATGATATAAGTGTTTCATCACAATATGATCTGATATTGATTCTCTAAGACCATAATACTTACTGATACGTCAAAAATTTCCACAATACGATTATGATTTGATAAGATTCAATTAATATATGCAACTAATATATCTAGGTTAAGATATTATGTGCTATTTTGTGCCGTAACATTTTTATTAACTCACTAAAGAAACCAAAGTACAGTATGAGCAATTAATTGAACTCTTTGAAAAATGCAAATCCTGTATCTCAATTGGGAAGTCTACAACAAAAAAATACATTTTAATTTTTTTTTTTAAATAATTTAGAAAAATATAAATAATAAATAATGGAAAAAAAAAAAGTTGCACATGAGATGATCACTTGTGCGATGAGAGCTCATCAGTGGCTTGTGCAATAAAATAAACAATGACAAGTCAAGAAAGTCTTTCTGCAAATCTAGTATCTAGTATATGACATACACAACAAAATGAGGCCCTCCAGTTGTTGAAAAAACATTTATACAGAAAATTAATGTGCATCTTAAAAATATTAGCAATTTCTTTAGGATTGCAGCAATACATCATATTGTTAGTCATTATATCCATCATATCTATGTATTGTTTATTTATACCCTTAATGCACAAGTGTGTGTTTTTACCTGGAGGGTGTGGAGGTCTTCTTATATTGTTCCTGAATAAGCTGTGCAGTGTGGTGAGGTTCTTCTCTTGCTGCCTGCAGCAGGGCTTTACGAAGGGTATGCTGGGATCTCCTCTCCCTCCTGAAGCCCCTCTGCTCTCTGCAAAGGTGCGTGTGTTTTTGTCTCAGGTATGAGCAGAAGCCTGCCAAACGCTCAGCACGGGAACTGCTGGCACTGTGAGATGGCAAAGAGAATTCTCTAGATCAGCACTTTTCAAACTGTGGGTTGCAATCCACTGTTGGGTCACAGAGTGTAAGCATTCATGCAGTGCCAGAAATATGAAAACAGAACTTATAAAGTTCAAAAAAACAAGTTTGTTGGTTGTCATAACTTGTATTTAGATTATGTATGTCACAGATCAAGGACGTTTTTCCTGAATGATTTATAATAAGACAAAACAAGCATTAAAATAAGCTAAAACAACCAAAAATCAAGATATTTCTTATTTTATTCAATATTATCAATTTATTTCTTCTTTTTTGAAGAAGACCTGGAAAAGGGCCTTCATTGAAGGTCAATTCAATGTTTATCCCATTTTTGTCCCAGTTGTGAGAAAGGAGGAATACTGATTTGAGAATAGATTATTCTATTACATGAGAAAGAAGCCATGAAGTAAAGCAAGTTGCAGTTTAGCAATCATTGTGTTTGGTGTATGGATGACTGTCGGACTAATGGATGACTGTACCTTTCCTCAGAGTGCTTCTCTTGTAGTCTCTGGCACTGATGTGACACTAGTTTCCCCAAGTCTCCATCTTCCTCTTCACTGTCTTCTGACCAGACAAGCCCTAGAACACAAGCTGTGTTTATCATGAAAACAAACTAAAGCTAAATTAACCGTTAAATGTCAAAATCTCAGGTCACAATTACCTACCTAAATGTGTGTTCAGGTCTTGGTACCTGCCCCTGTGTTGGACCATCAATCTATGGAACTTCTGCAAACATGGAGCTTGTTGTTGCATGGCAACCGAGTGCATTTTTACTAAACGTCTATGTATGTCATCACGGCTCGATGCTGTCCCTGAAGCTGCAGAGCCAACCTTTTTGTCAAAAGCATGATTAAGGTCCAGTTTAATTTTGTTATCAGCTGGAGTCGTTTCTATTGAGCCCTGGCGGCTGTCCTGAAGAGTTGATGAGGTTTTGAATAATGAACCTGAACGAACTGCAGGGGTTTGTAAGATTTCTGCACGAGGGGAGGAGGGAACTTTGGGTGTCTGTGAGGTTCTTCCAGTCTGGGGAGGAGGGAGGCAAGGACGTGGAAGAGTTGAAGAAAGAGACGAGGTTTTGAAATGGTTTGGGAAGGCTGGTTCCACACTGTGATCTTGCTGTTTCTGCTTATGGTTCAGAGCTTGGTTTTCTTGGGGCTTCTTCAGGAATGTGCCACTAGGTTTTAACATTCCCCCCCCCCTGTAAAAGGCGAAGGGATCAGAGGGGAGTAGACAAGCCAGGGAGGGTGGTGGGGATGGAGGTAAAAGCTCAAGCCCGTTGTGGGTCTTCAGAGCCAGGGATGGAACGGTAATGTTGAGGGCCAAAGACTCTATTGTATCGTGTTTCTTCTTTCGCTCCTTCTTGGGGAGGACACCCATAACCTGAAGGTGACTATTACAATACCTAAAAGATAAACAGGTTTTTTCAGCATTCTTTAAACATGCACATTATTTTCTTTAAACAATTGTTAATCCAAAAACCTACTTTCGGTCGTGAGCCTTGGGTATTGGATTGGTGCAGCGCTGGCTATTGTACTTGGCAACATATTCGCACTGTCTGAAAGGAGCGGTCCGGTCCTCAAGCACATGGCGGATGCAGAAAGCATAACCGTTGAGTCGGCGTTGCTTGCAAAGCTTTGGGCTATATGAACACAGAGGCTTGTGGTCCACCTCCGAGTAGTGGATGTGTTTGCCTTCATACATCCCAGGGCTGGAACTCTCCGGAACATCAGCTGATGAAAAAATTTTATGTGAATGAGACAAAAGTGTGACAAAAGCATTGAGTCAATTCAGCTTCTTTTGGAGTGCAGGAACAACAACTGTTGAATGAGACATATTCTTTTCTTTTTTTTTTACTCAAAACTGAAAATGTGCCTTGCATTTACAATTCTAATTAGATTTCACATGTATATAAATGTTATGTATATATTTAAAAATATATATATATTTTAAAATATATCTATTGAGTTGACTTTTTTACCATGCATAAAATGCATTATACATTTAGGGTTGGAATACACTACGTGACTTTTGCCCAAGTTTTTGCCTCAATTTGCAGTCTGGACAAGCTGACTCTCATTGCCGAAAGTCAGAGCCAGTCTGCAGATATTGGGCAGTCGGCGTTGACAGATTTCAAAGCAAATCACATAGTCTATTATGGAACAGACTCTGTTTCAGACTATAATTCTATCCAATTGGAGGATATCAAACATGTTTGATATTTTGAGACGATTTTACAACACATACAGTTTTGATTTGTCAGGCATCTCTGAGCAACGAGGCACATGTTTCTGGGTGGGTTTGTTGTGTTTTGTGGTATAGGGTGATCCTTAGTTGTTCAGTATACGGTGCTGCTAAGTTTTTCTCTGTAACCATTTACAAAGTCGGCAAGTGTATGATGCCTAGTGTTTTAAAATTCCAGCCTTTCCTGTAATATTCATTTTATTAATCTCAATTACAGGCAGCTACAGTTACCCTGCGGCTGCCCTAAACTGTATAGTCTGCAGAGACCTAATGATAGTTGACATTTGAAGAGCACAGAAATCAAAGCTCTGAGCTCTTCCATTATTATTGTGCTCCTTCATGGAATTTCTAGCACTCAGCAATGCATACAAAACAGTCAAACAGCTATAATAAAACCAGGAACATAATAATGACAAGCTTGCTTATCTGCAGGTCAAGTCACATCGAATTTAAAGTAGCTTTCAATATATGTTGCAGTCACCTCTAACATCTAACAAATCTGAACTCTGCATTTCAAAGCACTCATCGATGCATGCAGTATGTAGGCTGTTCAGCATAAACGGCTCAAACCATTAAATATTAAAGTGACAGGAAGCAGGAAAAGTAGCCCCTATTTTAAGCAATCAATGACACATGAGAAAAACAGCTGCTGTAAGCAGAGCTTTAAGCAGGTGTAGCACTAAATCATAAAACGATGGCTTGTAAAAGTGTTTGGGCAGAGTACAATACGTTTGACATGCAAAGCAACATTGAAAACGCAAGGGGACGGTGGACAACCCGCCTACTATATCATGTACTTGGGCAGCACTATCAGTTACTTTTGAGGCAAGGATTGAGCAAGTTGGGTGTGTAGCGCTTAAGTAACAATTTAAATATTTTCACGAAAGATACGATCAGAATCAGCGCGGTAGAATCTATTTCTTTGTTGCGTCGTACAAATATTTCGAACGCATTTTGAAACTTTGTAACGGTCGTCGGAACATTTGTTTAAGCGCGGAAGAGACTCGGGACCGATCATAGGCAAACTACCTGTCAAACGAAAATACGCGTTGTCGACGACCTGAGACGTTTTAAAGTTTCGGAGTATTATTTATCAGGTATATTTAGATTAGTTTCACGGGGTTAAGTTGTTATAATATTGCAAGAAAACCTGATATCAGATACACACTGTGACTTCAAGTATTCCTTTATTTCTGCGCAATTCGTAGTTACCGTTGGCCTGTGAAACCTCCCGAATCCCCCGAGTCGAGTAACAAGGCACCCGTCTTGCAGTGCGTGATAAGCGGGCTTCCGCCTTTGCTCGAGTCCGTTGCTTCCCGGCAGCTGCTGAGTCCCCGATCGCTGCGGCCTATGCTAAACAAGCTACGCTGATCTCTTCGTATGGTCGACGGCTATTACTTTCAACGAGGATTTTCCGCCTCTACCTTACCGCTTTACGCTAGCAAATTTAGTTTTTTAACGCGTAGATTTAATATTACACGAATCCTACTGGCACATCTTTGTCGATTATTGAAATAAAACTAGCCGTACACAAGGAGAAGGGGGTGTTGGTTTAGTCATCGGATGCGAGGCTTCTTACAGCACAACTACAGGCACTGGGGGGACATGACAACAGCCTACAGTGCAACAACAACCTCTGCAACCATTTTGGAATTCAACTTTGTATGTTCATTGTCGGCTTTTAGAAAGATGACAGATCTCGCAAACACAGAATATAGATTGAACATTTGAGTGTCCGGCTGTCAGAAGTGTTCAGACCAGCGTGAAGTTCTATTTAAGCCGCAGTCGTTGATTTTAAGTTTGAGGGATCTACCCCAAAGTCTTTTCCGACAGCCTCCTCTCACGCGTCTCATCCATGCCTGGAATGACATCACCGACTTCAAATTTAGTGCAATCTCACATGCGAAGATAACGTTCTTGTCAGTCATATTTTCCCTTCCCTGCTATCAATAAATATTATCAAGACGAAAGGCTTGTGATATAAACTATGAAGCAGGTGTTAGTGGGGGTAAAGATATTTTGAAGTGACTAAGGTTGCCCCCATCAATCCTCTTCAGTGACGTCAGAATGATGCATAGTTGTGAAAATGTATACAAAGTTGTTAAACTTTAGGGTATGTTAAAAGTTTTATCATTAAAGTGGAACTCATCATAATCCACTACTTTGCTATTTAATGTAATTTAAAATAATATAATGGGTGAAATTTAAGATTCATTCAACAACTAGTTGTCAAATTAATATATAGAGAGAGAGAGAGAGCAAAACAGGCTTTACATTGCACTTAATCCAACAACATTCTTAAAAAGAAAAACCAATCAAGATGCTTTTTCTCCTTACACTTCCATCCCAGATTCTAAATGAACCAAAACAGAATTTTTTCTACTGTGCCCTTGCTTTGAATAATTTATACCAGCGATGTCAACGGTGACAATAGTATATTGATATAATACATTTTATTTATCATAATAAGAGCTTTCCAAAACAAAGCAGACCTCATTCAGCCAAATCATGGGAATGAAAACTTTACAACACCCTTCAAAGCCTATTAAATATGAGCGAGATTAATTTCACACATTTTTGCTCCTCTGGTGAAGTCTGACCATGTAAGAGACGGGAGACAAACAGCAAAATATGCTGAAATCCAGGTATGTGGTTGTACATGTACTTGACGATGACTATTTTGTGTATGCCTGAAAGAGTTTTAACAAACTGAGGGCTCATCAACTGCTGCTGCTCCTTCTGTCACAGCCTTCACACACTTGGCCATTGTCTGAGAGGCTCTGCTGATGGGGTCTGTGGAGGAAGACAATCGAAGGCAATGATAAATTACAGGTTCGAAGACATAGACTAGGTTACAGCGTTCTATTCACACACAAGAACTTGTAAACACTAACAAAATATATTTGTTACTCTACCTGTCATGTAGAAATCCTTCACTGTGAGCTGAGGGGGGACAAGAGGAGCTGCAAGCAATGACTGATTCACAGCCTAAGGAGAACAGGAGGACATTACTGGACTGTGTAATTAGTGCAGATTTAAAACAAAAACAGAAGAACAAAGAAGAAGAACACTAACCTTTGAAAGCTCATGGGCCTGTTTGAAATAATTGGCTTCCTCTACATCATCATATCTCACCAGGTTAGGAGAGACCTCTTCCAGCCTTCTCCTCACCTCAGCCAGTGTGTCATATGGCAGTGTGACTCCCGCCAGCTGAGCAAACAAAACATGAGATTCCTTACTGAACAACCTGAATTTGATTCTAAATACAAAGCTCAGGAAAGGTATATGAACAATATTATACATTGTATAAGTCCAGGTTTTAAGGAGAGTACCTCAGAAATAGCACGCAAAACCTTCCAGTCTTCACGTGCCATACCAGGAGCAGTAACTGCCACCCTGGTCTGCTGGGCTCGGCCCTCTGTGTTGACGTATGTGCCATTCTTTTCGGTGTATGCAGCACCAGGCAAGATGACATCAGCCATGACTGCACCTACATCTCCATGGTGACCTGATAAGCATGTGGAACCATTAAACGCAAAAGAATATTTTTGGATGCAAGCCGCTTACTATCAAGGCCGCGATATACTCACAACAAAGTTTTTTGTCATTCATTGCTTGGGGCAAACTTCGTTTTGGCCTAATTTTGTATAAAGTAATGTCACACCAGTTTGTTTATCAATTTTGCTTGACGTTTATCGGGGCCTTTGGATTGTGGTACAGAACACAAAGTCTATAGTATATAAATATGCAAGTGTCTTTACTGACCCTGGTAGATGATAAAGCTGTCTTTGGGAAGGTCTGCTCTGGTGATGCAGCCAGCATCGGCTCCCAGAAGAAACAGTACTTTGGGAGGGTTCTTCTGGATGGCATTAACACCAGGTTTGTAACCCAAGTCCAGGGCTGCCACTTGACTAGCCACCCTGAGGTCACACACATGAACGTGACAAGGTAAGTACTTCTACTAAGCAAAGAGTCAAATTTCACAATTCTTTTAAATGAACAGTAGAACAGACATGATTCCCAAAGAAAGGTCCAGACATGCACACTTAAGGGAGTAGCTGACCTGTGCAGCACATTGAGCACTTTCCATCCATCCTCAACACCACTGCTGACCCGAGAGTTTTGAGCGATTGTGGACACGGCCTTAAAGATGGCTGCCCCATCTTCCCTCTGGAGAGTGGAGCTACCCAACACTACGACAGGCTTTTTGGCCTGGACTAGGACCTGAAATACAAAAAAAAACTTATTGAAATTCAAGAGGTAACTTCTGATGTCATGCTTACAGACAATGTACAGACAATGACTTCAGTCAAATCTCCAAATAAACTCCAACATTGCGATTTAATGCTACCTTGCAGAAAGGGTGTGTTCCAGCAGCGATCTCCTGCAGAACTTGTGTGGTTTCACCCAAATGTTTGTAAGAGTAGCTCAGGTCCACCTTATGACCCACCATGGCCACCTGGAGCTCATTATGCAACCAACTGAAAGATAAAAAAAAATAAATAAATAAAATAGATAAAGAAAAAAAAAAAAGACACCTAGTCAACATTTTACAACTGTTGCTAATAGAGTGTGCAATGGTTATACCTCTTGCGGATACGTGAATTGAAGAGAGGAGCCTCATAACGTGGGTTTGTTCCAACCAAAAGCAGGAAGTCACACTCCTCAATGCCAGTGATACGGCTGTTCAAGAGGTAATTGGAGCGCAGGTCGGTTCTAAGGAGACAAAAGACCACAAATAGTTTAAATCCCTAATAGTAAGATTGAAAGGTTAGTTTGAACAAAAATTGTCATCAATTACTCACCCCCAGCTAAGACTTAAGACATTTTTTTACACAAGACTTTCATAGACATGAAAACAATCCAGTTCTTGCTTGACTAATAAGTTTTGTTCTTGCATGTCACACAAGCATGTTTGAGTGTCCGCAAGAACCAATGAGGTTTGTTTTCAATCAAGTACAGATGAGCTGCACTTGACCGTATTTAATGTGTTCCATGTATGCGTGTTGATGAATGTTTATATGTGAATAAAAGCCTAAATTAAATCTGTTCATCAAGCAATCCATGCCAAGACCTGGATTATTGATTTATATGGATATGTTTCATGAACTTTTATGAAATGTTTTATGAACTTTTAGATGCTTGAAAGTTTAAATGAATTAGACTTTTTTTAAACAGAACAGGGATTAAAGTTTTCCTCGCTACGACGGATTTCTGTCAGTTCATAAAGACAGTCACTTGCTTCATTCCTGAATGATTCAGCCGTTTGAACGAATCAATTGAATGAATGATTCAGTGATAAAATCAGTGACTTGCCGCCAGCTGCTGGCGGATTTAGTTTCATTTTTAGCGTATAATTTCAGTTTCATATTTTTCATATTTTCAATTTCATACTTCTGTATTCAAAATGTTATATTTAAAACATTAATCTCCACATTAATTTATGAATTTAATTGCACTCATGCCACCTCTGAGCCTCATTAAACGTCTGAAAATGTACCTACAAGCCACTTTTGTGTTCTTCTGTGCCACCTCTGTAGTACAAATTAATTTATTAATACTAATTTCATATGATTGATAACTTATATGTCTTATTCTACTTCCTGTTATATTGCAGGGGTTAAAGCAAAAAAAAATCTTTTGACTGAAAAATTTTCTTTGACCAAACCCCATTCCTCAGCCATACCCGTCAAACCCAGTTTAAGAGCAGTTTTTTTTCTTCTTGTAATTAGGTGCGCTTGTCCTCCTAATTTAAAAATTTAGGAGCACCTTCTGATCAATAATAAAAAATTCTGATCAAAAATTAGCCTTCCTAATACGAAGTGACATTTTACTCCTTAAAGTGACTTACAGGAGTATTTTCTTTTTACCTTTGTAATGGCATCATTTTCATCTATGTCAAATTCAAAAATGTATGTTTATAAGCTTTTTAAAATTTATATTTAAAACAATATAATAAGAAGGAGAATAAGACAAATAAGTTACCAATCATATGAAATTAGTATTAATAAATTAATTTGTACTACAGATGTGGCACAGAAGAACACAAAAGTGGCTTGTAGGTACATTTTCAGATGTTTAATGAGGCTCAATGGTAGCATGGGTGCAATTAAATTAATAAATTCATGTGGAGATTAATGTTTAAAATATACAATTTTGAATACAGAAATATTAAATTATTCAAATAACTGAAATTATGTGCTAAAAATGAAACTAAATCCACCAGCAGATGGCGGCAAGTCACTGATTTTATCACTGAATCATTCATTCAATTGATTCGTTCAAACGGCTGAATCATTTAGGAATGAAGCAAGTGACTGTCTTTATGAACTGACGGAAATCCGTCGTAGCGATGGAAAAATTTAATCCCTGACAACAAGAGGTTAGGAAATGATGACAGAATTTTCATTTCTGGGTGAAATATCCCTTTAAGTTAATCATAACAAATAATAACCAATAATAACATGATCAATGCATTTTAGAAAAAGAACAACATTTTTTACATCTTCTGAAGAAATCAGTGGTGCTTGCATTGCAAAGTAGTTGCTATAGTGTTCTGAGTGTTTTTAGCTTGCTGAAATACGGTTGTTGCTAGGCTCTTACTTGCTTGCGCAAGTTAAATCCTTAAGGTGAGCTATTTGTTGAAAAAAATCTAACCCATTATATGAGCAATGACACTGGTTTTCAAGTAATTATTAGTGGTATTTCCTAAGTAATAGTTATGGTACTGCAAACTATAAGAAGAGATATTATGACTGAAATCAGGACAGACACCATTCTCATTTTAGTCTCAAGACAGATAAGTCTATAATCAGATGGGTACTCACCCGGCACCAGCCATTGGGAAGATCTCCTCAGTGCAGAGGGTGTCACTGTCCAGTCTGTTCAGTAGGTCCTTCAGAGCAACCAGTGCCTCAGCATCTACCATCCCACCAGCAACAGCTCCTACCTCAGAACCCTGAACACCCTGGAGCTGAAAATTCAAATCACAACCATTGAAATCTACTGTCTTCCAATGACAAAGCTGGTTGATTCTGGTCAAAGCTGA